TTGGTATAATAATAGAAGTTAATAGATAAACATCCTCTAAAACAACTATTTCCTAATTTACTAATTGAAGATGAGTATAATAATAGATAGTTAAAGATGAACATCCTGAAAAACAACCTTCTCCTATTTCATTAACTGTTGTTGGTATATTAATTAATCTTAATGATGAACAACCAGAAAAAACAACTATCACCTAATTTACTAATTGAAGATGGAATAATAAATTCATTAATATCTTTCTTGAAAATATTCTTTCCATTGATTATTTGTAGATTTTCTGGTATTTTAATACTAATTAATACTGGTTCATTCATAAATATCCTTTCTTTACTTATAAATTGTAGATTATCTATATTCATCCATATTAATGACTTACACTCTTCAAAAGGTTCATTTCCTATTTTACTAATAGAAGATGGTATATTAATTAGTGTCAATGATTTACATTCACCAAAACAACAATTTCCTATTTTACTAATTGATGATGGTATATTAATTGTTTTTAATGATGAACATTTACAAAAACAGTTATTTCTTATTTCAGTAATTGTTGATGGTATAGTAATAGATGTCAATAATTTACATCCTTCAAAACACCAACATCCTATTTCATTAATTGATGTTGGTATATTAATTGTTTTTAATGATGTACATTCACCAAAACAATTATTTCCTAATTTGGTAATTGGTGTTGGTATAGTAATAGATGACAATTCATCACAATTTTTAAAACACCAATCTCTAAGTGATTTAACTTCTGGAGGTATTATATTTCCATATATATCTCTATCATATTGTGTATATTTTATATTTTTACATATATTTCCTGCTTCTTTCTCTTTTAAATATCTTGAATAATCTACTGTATACCATATTACTTCTTTAGCTATTCTTCCATCATCAAATTCTTCATCTTCTTCATTATAAATATGAAATGTTTCAATATTAGGAAAGAATCTTCTTGAATATTTATTTAATGGAATTGGATTAAAATGAAATCGTTCCATATTTCCTCTATATCTTTTAATTCCAATTTCTAAATTAATAAAATCTTTAATATCATTAAAATATTTTGATACTATCATCATTGCATAATGTCCTATTCTTCTTTTTCCATTTATTCTTTTATTGATTTTATTATTGTATATTATTCTTTTGATATTTATTA